GGGCAGAGCCGGAGTATCAGAAGGGGGGGCTATGAGGGGTCTGGGGTGGCATCCTCCCACACCACTCTAGACCCCTCATAGCCCCCCCCCTTCTGATAGTCCGGCATATCTGATAGTCCGGCACCCCCTGGGTCCTAAAGGTGCTGGATTATCGGAACTTTACTGTATGTTATTTGAAATTGTGGCCCTCAGGAAGTCTCATTGAAGCTAACTACTCCTAATACACTGCCCTATTTGCTAACTTAGTGGCATCCTCCCACACCACTCTAGACCCCTCATAGCCCCCCCCCTTCTGATAGTCCGGCATATCTGATAGTCCGGCACCCCCTGGGTCCTAAAGGTGCTGGATTATCGGAACTTTACTGTATGTTATTTGAAATTGTGGCCCTCAGGAAGTCTCATTGAAGCTAACTACTCCTAATACACTGCCCTATTTGCTAACTTAGTACTCTTGGATATAGGTATCAACAGGAAGCTAATAGGCCAAGGCAGCCAACCAACATACAACATCAGTACAGACCACACAGTGTAGTTCATAAAAGTTATCCTTTTTAAGGGGAAATGAAGCAACTGTCTTCTATATAAAAAACAAATCTGAGTAGCGGTTCTAACTAACCCTATATCAAAATCATGAAGTAGAATTTTAGTATTGATTCAACTCAGATTTCTAGAACGTTTTAAAAGGTGCTGGTCACTAGTATAGTAGGATACAGAGAAGAGCCTTAAGGAAATGTTAGATTTATTATTTACTTTGTTTCATGGGCAACTATCAACTGGGGAAAAACAAAACTAAATTCACATTTCTGTCTTAAGAACTTTGCCCCCACCATTATTAAATGCACCACCTACAATTACTGTAACTGAAATGGGTGAAGGTACCTGTTGCATCTTCTTGTATTCCCCGACTCTGGCATAGGCCATGAAGAGATGAGAATGATATTCCTCACTGTTGGGAACCTTCTTTACAGCTGCCTCGTAAAGTTTAGTTACCAACTCCGCTAAACCAAAAACAGATTGTTCAATTCAGACACATTTGGGACAGAAGATTATAAAGCAGCTATTTCAAGATAGCATCTGGGATGCTGTGCAAAGTAATTCAATTACACAGTAGGCAAGTAGAAATAATTTTAAAAAAAAAGTCTGTTTTTTTGCAAAAACATTCTGAATGCTTTCAGGTTGGAGTTAAAACACTTCCAAGGTCACCCATTCTGAGACACTTCACCAATTCTAGATTTGTACTTTGGTCACACAGAGACTGTCTACTTTAAAAATAAACTATTTATTAAGACAGAATAAACTTGAGGAATTCAAACTGTTTTAAGGAAACTCCCTCTAATGAAGCAATTATCAAACTTCACTGCACCACGAGCTCCTTTTGACAACAAAAATGATTACATGACTCAGGACAGGGGACCAAAGCCTGAGCCCTGCCACCCTGGGTGTGGGGTGGGATGGGTGCCAAAGTCTGAGCCCAACTGACCCAGGCAGGGGGGAAAAGCCAAGCCAAAGAGTTTTAACCTTGGGCAGTAAAGATCCTGAGAATAGAATGGATGCAGGTGGTCACCAACGAGGAATTAAATAGGAAGATACAGCTGAAAGAGAACCTACTGCAGGTGGTTATACAATGGAAGTTACAGCTATTCGGGCATATCTGCAGAATGAACGACGAGCAAAAAGTTAAGAGCCTGGTATTCGGCATAATGGATGGTACCAATAGGAGAGGCAGACCCCACAGAGAATGGGTAGATGATCTAGTTGATTGGTGAGGAGCTAGTCTACAGAAACTAAGCCACTCTGCACTGGACAGGGAAAGATGGAAGGAAATAGTGAGGGAGACATTGGACACCAACAGGCGTTGAGCCTATGGTTGTTGATGATGATGAGTAGGTCTGTAACGGAGCCCCACCATCCAGGACTGAAGGCATTGGTCCGAGAGAGTTTGGGGCAATTTGGCCCCAGGCCCCAGCAAGTTTAACATCAGTCCTGGCTACCCAATTAAATCAGGTTCATGACCCACTTTGGGGTCCCAAACCATAGTTTGAAAATCACTGCCTAACACAGGAGGAGAGATTATGCTGTACATTACAAAACCCTCATATTTCCAAAGTGGCTTTTATGTTTTCAATCTCCTTTAAAAATAAGCTTATCTTGAAATAAGTTAGGATTAGACATTTAGAATACCTAGACACTATTTGTATTTGATTTTACCATTCTTCCTTCGCCTTGCACTCTTTTTTGGAGGGGGGTGCACTTGTACTTACACAATTATTACTGAATGTAATTTTCTTAAATTCAAGTTACTCTTCACATAAACGCATTATATATATATATATGCAAGGTATTAATAAGGTTTAGTGTGTTTTATATGTTCTTGAATAATTAACTTCTATGTGTAATACATTCAATTATTTTTGTGTTTATATTTTTCTGGTTTTTAAGTTGAGAATTGTTGAAATAAAGATGTAAAAGCAGATATGAAGAGGCTTCATATTATCACAATTAGTAAAGGACAGAAGAGGTTGCTACATCAAAGAAATAGTGCTGTGCAGTTATACCTCCTCATGGCAAAAAGTGTCTCAATTCAGTCATTTTCTGCAGGAAACCTGATAATGAACATTAGTGACACATCTTCAGGAAAGTGATAAGGTATGTCTTTGCGCTGCAGACAAACCAAACCATGTATGCTTTCTCTTTCACAGTAAGCATGCACAGCTTTGTTTACTGAATCACTCAAGGGCTGTGTTTACATTGGTGCAATCTTGCGCAAAAGCACCTGCTTTTGCGCCAAAACTTGCTGCTTGTCTACACTGGCCACGAGTTCTTGCACAAGAACACTGATGTTCTAATGTATGAAATCAGTGCTTCTTGCGCAAGAACTATGATGCTCCCACTCAAGAATAAGCCCTCTTGTGCAACTGTTCTTGTGCAACAGGCCAGTGTCGAGAGGCACCATGAATTTCTTGCACAAGAAAGCCGGATGGTTAAAATGGCCATCAGAGCTTTCTTGCGCAAGAGAGCGTCTACACTGGCATGGATGCTCTTGCGCAAAGGCACATGCCAGTGTAGACACTCTCTTCTGGAAGAGTTTTTGCACAAGAACTCTTCCGCAAAAGAGTTCTTGTGCAAAATCATGCCAGTGTAGACGTAACCAAGAAGTTTTGATTTAGAGGAATTGTTTTCAAGAGTAACAGGAAAGGGAGAAGTCAGGATTTCCCCACTAAGTCTACAAGACAACTTCTAAAGACATTTTGAGGGGCCAAATTCCTTGACTATATACACATTATTTTACATAGAATCATAGTTGTCTGCTCTTCAAAGTTCATATATAGTATTAGCTGCTTACGATTTACACATCATTTCTATTTAAATTAACAACTTCACATTCTTTTCACTGGAATACATTTGAATGAACTTGTTTGATATTATGACTAACACACCACGTTAAATTACCGTGAACCCAATTTTCAATAACAGGAGCCTAGCTAGGACATCTTTCTTTAAAATAATTGAACAGACATGTTTATGCCAAAAGGGCATTTACAGAGTTTTGTGCCAAACTGGGCACCTGAATCCCATGTCTGAACCACCTATTCAAGAGCCTATGTTTGAAAACTGTACCTTGTACATTTCCCTTTGAATTCCAGACAATTCATTTTAAAGAAAGGCCAGAGGAAAGATTATATAATTAGGATCAAGCAGCTCAAATTTCCAGGAGAAAAGTAAAACCAGAAAACCTACGTCTATGCATTTCCCGGTAAAGGATAGTCAGTGCTTGCAAAGAGTTGTCATCTGTAGGTTCGAGTGCAGTTACTTCTTGTGCAAGAGCAAATGCTTCATCTTGTTTCCCAGTTCTCTGCAAGCCAATCGCTTTTAATACCTATATACGTAATAAAGAAGCAGCTATTAAAACCACTGCCAACACCTACAGAAGAAACTTATTTTGAAACAAAGGATCATTAGAGAAAAATCAACTTGTCCATGGTGAGAAACAAACTTGCCTAAGTGACTACCATCAATTTCTGAAGAATGTAAGCTTTCATTTAAAACACACCCCTTAAGATGGCAAAGAATATCTTCCAAATGCAAATAGTCTAAAACTGTTGTTTTCAACCTATGTCTAAGATTTCTAAAGGGGCCTGCACCATCATTAAAATGTTTTTAGGGGACAGCAAATGAAAAAAGGTTGAAAGCCATGGGTGTGTTGAAGCAAAGGCCTCACTCAGTTTACGTGGCTAAACAGACAGCTTTATTGATCAGTAAAGCCAAGTGAGCCAAACGTGGGCCCGGCTCTGCTGGGCCCAGTAAGGCTGCTAATACAATCAATCCTAGTATCTTTTTACCCTTAACCGAACAGTCTGACCTCACAGCATCCAATTACAGAAATCCTCAATTAAACTAGGAAAAACAAAGCCTTATCAACAAGATGGCGGACAGGTGCGAGGGAGTACATCTCCTGTCCCAACCAGCCCAATTAACACATTCTAATAGCCCATCCTGTAGGCCTCTTCTCACGGGGTGACAAAGATCACTCTGGTCTACGTGCTTGAGAGAAAAGCTGAAATGGTTTCTGTTATACAAGATGGCTTCTAGCTAAATATGAAATGGTTTCTACAGGTGTAAAGCAGTGTTTCTTAAACTGTGCGCTGCAAGACAGTCAGAGGTGTACCACGGCCTCTTTTAACTTCCCCCCCCCGCGGAGATGGAAACTCAGTTGAGACAACACACACAGCAATTAAAGGAGCAGCGACCGTTGGTTTTTTTTTTTTTTTTTGCTCAGCAGCTTTCCCCCAGTGTTCCGCATTTAAAAAAAAAATGGTTTGGTGTTCCACGGTCTTAAAAAATTTAAGAAACACTGGTGTAAAGTGATGCAGTGCTGCCTTCCTCAGTCTGTAGACTGCCAGTTGCAGTGCTTTTGCTGCTGCTCAATTCTCCCTACTTGTAGCAGAGTGAAAACCAACCACTCTTGCCAGGTTTTCACTGCTGCTATTCAGAAGAAGAGCTAAAACTATTCATCATCAGTTTCACTCTTCTGCAGCTTGGGAAAGCTCTGATAAGTGGCAACTGCATTAGTAGCCAGGAGCCTGGGAGAGGGACAGAATAGCAGAAGCCCTGGTAACAGCATAGCCCAAAGGGTGGAATTTTTGCAGGTTAGAAAATATTTCTTTACACATTTTCAAACAAATATGATATTCAATTATTCGAAGTGTTCTATTAACCTTCTGAAAACTGTCAAGAAACATTATGGCTTCTTTAAAAAGAAAATCAGATTACTGGATGCTTGAATGGGATAGTAGAATTTCCCCAAATTTCAGAACCGTGTTTACTCAGGAAAATACCATAAAGAAAAGCAATCAAATTTACCTTAGCGCAGTGAAGATCCTTGTGTTTTTTTAGCAGTTTATCTGCCTGCTGGATTGCCATTTTATTACTGCCATTATCAAGATAATCTACAAAACCAACACACAGAGTGATTACAACGGAGAGCAAAGAAAAGATGGATGTCTATTCCCTAATCTCAAGGAGAGAAGGTCTGTGCTGCAAGGGTGAGATTTTGTTTCAAAATTAAGTTCAGTTCACAATTACCGAACTCCTTTTTCACCATTACCACAGTGCATCTTAAAAATATATCTCCTTTGTTCTAGCTTTAGTCAACCCAACACAGTAAAAGACTCTTTGGGTCTTTTCTGATGAAAGCTCATTATGGTATGACAGGATCTAGATAGCACAATGGGTTTGGATGGTCTCAGAGCCTAGGCTCCAGTCTGAGGAGGAAGATCTAAACTACTACACCTTTAGTCCCATAGAGCAAACCCAATGCGCTGTAAGAAAAAGCAAATATGATAGGCAACCAGCTTGGCTTAGCAGGGAAATCCTTGGCAAGCTGAAACACAAAAAGGAAGCTTACAAGAAGTGGAAACTTGGACAGATGACGAGGGAGGAGTATAAATATATTGCCCGAGAATACAGGGGAGTTATCAGGAAGGCAAAAGCACAATTGGAATTGCAGCTAGCAAGGGATGTGAAGGGTAACAAGAAAGGTTTCTACAGGCATGTTAGCAATAAGAGGGTGATCAGAGAGAGTGTGGGGCCCTTACTGGATGAGGGAAGTAACCTAGTGACAGATGATGTGGGAAAAGCTGAAGTACTCAATGCTTTTTGGCCTGTCTTCACAAACAAGGCCAGCTACCAGGAGGAATGTAAGCAACTAGTCAACTATCCGATAATCATACACTTGTATTTTTTAAATGTATTAAGAGCCTGGTGCACCTCCCTCCTTCACACCCCCTTCCCTCCCCAAGCGTGGAGGGAGGGAGGGAGGTGCTCCATTGGTGAAGAAGCAGTGGGCCAGCGGTTGGAAACCACGGATTTACATGATTAACTGATAAGCCTGGGCTTATCAATTAATCCTAATGTAGTAAAATGAAGGCCTAAAAAATAAGTACATGTAGCACAGGGCTGGTCTGAGGCTTGAGGCCTAGCTAACATAAAGCTAAGCTGTGAGCAAGAGGCAGGCCCCAGCTCACAGAACTTGGCACAAACAGGGCTGAGAGTGCAAAACACTCATTGGTAATAGGCCCAGGTGTACACCAGTAATTAGTGCTAGGTACCAACTGTAAAACAGGAATTGGTACTGGTCATAAGTTGAAAGCACATGGTACCACCAGCTCATTAAAGACCTTGGCACCCACTCCCCAAAGATACTGACCCAGGTTCAGGAAAGGGTCTGAAATGACAGAATGATGGATAGAGATGATCTAATCAAACCACAAGGGACAGGGTGATGGATGGTATCTAAGTAGCATCAGAGGGTAGTAACGTGACAGCATCAGCAACGGTGTGTAACTTCTTGTACCTGTACATAGAGTGGTATCTTAGGGGGACAGTCTTTGGATGACCTAGGGGAGCAGTGGAAATTTCCCACTGAGTCATTCCATTGTGGCAAGTCCATATGCGTAGCAGTTCAGTAGAGTCTACTGACAACTATTACTGTACTTCACTTTACAATAAACCTGGCCTAGCACCTTCGATCCTTATCTGGTTTGTGGTCTTTGGGGCTCTCTTGGGGTCTGCTGTGGAGACTAAGCACACAAGTCGACACGGCACACATCACTGAGCACACACGTAAGCGGCCTTCTGGTTATCATCATCAACGGAGCCAGAGACCTGTGAGGACGCCTCAGCAGTAAATCCTGACCGCCCTCCTGAAAACCTACAACTGGATTAAATCAAGCAGGTTTTGGTGTACTGCAGGGCTAAGGAAGCTGCAAGGCTTTAAGAGACAGGGGGATGCTTGGTGAGGTTCCTCACCATTCCCCTTTTCAGGATAAGGCACTGCTTTCTCAATCCTGGGTCCTGAGTGATAGACGGTGACAAAAATCAAAACAAGAGCAAAATAATGCCCGCCTGTATTTGTTGAGAGCAAATCATACCTCCCATCAGCTTCCGTATGATTAGGCTAAACAAGCCAAGGTCTTTGAATCACCAGTCATAAATAGGGTTTCCATTCTTCAAATCATCCTTCACCTTTTTCTGCAACTGTTCCTGTCTGAGTTCATCTTTTTCAAACAAGGAGACCAGAATTGCACACAGTATTCCAATGAAGTTTCACCCATGCCTTGTATAATGATACTAGCCACCTCCCTGTCTCAACTGAAAAAAATACCTCTCCTGATGCAACCAAGGACTGCATTTGTCGTTTTCATAGCTACATCACATTAGCAGCTCAGTCATCCTATGTTCAATCAGCACACCCAGGTTTTTCTCCTTCTTTGTCACTTCCATCTGATACCTCCCTTTCTTGTAGCAAAAATTCTCATGGTTAGTCCATAAAAATATGACCTGGCATTTTTCACCATTAACAGAGCGCTGCCAAATTCATAGTCATGAATAACGCATCACAGACTCTGAAATCTGAACTTCCCTCCCAAAAGGGAGTTGCAAAGGGGTCCCAAGTTTATTTTAGGAGAGTTGCAGTACTGACAACCTAACATTTGTGCTGCCTTCAGAGCTGGGTGACTTTAGAGCAGCAGTGGTTGGCTGGGTAAAACACTAACAAAAATGCAGAAGTTACACATTTACACAAATACCTATTAGTTAACAACCCTAATACCATCATGCAAAACATTAATAGCTTTCCTGGCTCCCAATTGTAGATCTAAACCACTGTTCTACCATAACAGACTGAGCTAATTGGGGCAGGGACTCTTTTACCTTGAACAGCACCAACAATAACTTAGGGCCAAAGACCAACAGTGAGGAAGGACCATTCCCTCCCCATGTTGACATTTGGCAATAATGGCTCTCTTAGCAATCCTGACCTTAACACTTCAAAATAACTAATTATTAACCACTGGTCTGTAAGGAGTGAGGAAAAGTGTATGTGTGTGTGGGGATAGCAAGTGTGGAGAAGCTGGACACTTGGAAGGGGTAACAGTCGCCTGTATAAAACGAAGCCCCTAACGTTGGGGTATCTGAATGGGGAGGAGGAGAACCAGGGTCTCCCAGGATGTGTGGGGACACATGGAGGTCAAGACCGTGAAGGGCCCCTGTGAGACAGAGAGGCAGGCTAAGGGCACCAGAGGGGCTCAGGGAGGGGACGACCCTCCGCCCGGTGTCTTTCGGAGCCCCGCTCCCCTGCAGGAGCTGGGGAGCGGCCCTAACGTTGGGGTATCTGAATGGGGAGGAGGAGAACCAGGGTCTCCCAGGATGTGTGGGGACACATGGAGGTCAAGACCGTGAAGGGCCCCTGTGAGACAGAGAGGCAGGCTAAGGGCACCAGAGGGGCTCAGGGAGGGGACGACCCTCCGCCCGGTGTCTTTCGGAGCCCCGCTCCCCTGCAGGAGCTGGGGAGCGGGGAGAGCCAGCCCCGGCAGCTACTGGCTTTCACAGCACTGCTACCGGTAGTGATTTGTGGGACTGTAAGGAACTCCTCCTATAAGATATTGCTACCGGAAGTAGCACAATCCTTCAGGTAGCAGCTACATACCTATAAAGTGTAACACAGCTACATTTCTATCACTATAAAGTGTAAGAAACTGATAGTCAAATACTAACACCAGATCTAGAAAATTCCTATAGACCCCGTGATTCTTACCATATTTCAGGGTTCTCTCAGTGCTCCAGTTGAGACTTAATCAGCGCAGAGTAGACTACAAGAATTACTTATTGTGTCTTGCAAAAAAAAGCAAACCTCACTGTTGTGAGCAAGTTTTACACTGTTGACTCGTATTTAGCTTGTGGTCCAAAGCAATTGCAACCCCCCCCCCAATTATACAGTGTAAGAAATAGCTACTGTAAAACACTAGTACCAGACCTAGCAAATTCCTGTAAACCCAGTGATTGTTACCATGGTTCAGGTTTCTTTCCCAGTGCACAAGAATTACTTTTTGCATCTTGCTTACAACACTGATGTTGGCTTTTTTTGCAGGAGTTTTACACTGTTGACTTGTATTTAGCTTGTTGTCCAAAGCTCCTACAAACCCCTCTTCGTGTGTTCTCATTCACAGCCTTTATAAGTAAACTCTCTAAACAGAGTCAACTAGTGAAAGGGGACCCAGAGGGCTGTGTAAGGGCCAGGACAACCCTGCACCTGTTCCTCCCCTCTCCTCCTCTGCCTTTGCCCAGCACCCTGGGCACTATTTTCCTACCAGTTTGGCAATTGCCTTATTATAACTCCATCTAGGTTACATTAGTATCAAAAACTTTACTAAAGTCAAGATAGACCATGTCAAGAACCACTTCCCCCCAATGCACAAGGCTTGTTACCTTGTCAAAGCTATCAGGTTGGTTTGACATTATTGCTTATTTATTTGCTGTGAAATCTTTTCAGATACACAAAACCATTTATACTGATTCTCGTTATGCTTTTGGGGTTGTATCTGACTTTGGCACCCTCTGGCAAGCTCGGGGTTTCCTTACCTCTGCTGGTAGCCCTATCAAGAATGGCCCCTACATTACTGCTCTCCTGTATGCAGTTTTACTCCCATCTGCATTAGCTATTGTTAAGTGCCCTGGCCACTCCACAGCAGATACTGATGTTGCTAAGGGTAATGCTGCCATAGAACCTTCCACAGGTGTGCTTCTCTGTTCCCTTTCTGTTTCTGTACCACCGCTGTCCCTTTCTTACCTCACCCTGCTCCAAGACTCTGCCCCAGAAGCAGAAAAAGACGGAAAAAGACTCCTGGGTTGCTCTCTATACCCCGATTCCCTTTGGCGCTCGCCTACTTGTGCCTTTGTGGCCCCCTTTTCACTCTACCCCTCTCTGGCCGCCCTGCTTCACGATGTTTTGCATGTTGGAAAGGAGGGGATGCTCTCTGCTGTAACTAAGGCAGGATGGTGAGCCCCACATTTCAGCTCTTTTGCAGCCCGCCACTGTGCCGCCTGTACCACTTGCCAAAGCTACAATGTTGGCAAACCTGTAAAGGTAGCTCAAGGGTTCTGGGGCCTGCCCCAAGCACTGTTCTTGCATTGGCAGCTTGATTTTGTACAAATGCCTAAGTGTCAATGATATGAATTCATTTTGGTTATGGTATGTTTATTTTCGGGTTGGACTGAAGCCTTTCCGTGTCCCAAAGCTGATTCACTGTCTGTTGCCAAATGTTTGTTAAATCATATTATGCCTGCCTGTCAGGGGGTTCACACCCCAGTGCGCCTCAGTGCCCCCTGACTGTCTTCATATAGCGTGCCTTTGTGGCCCCCTTTTCACTCTACCCCTCTCTGGCCGCCCTGCTTCACGATGTTTTGCATGTTGGAAAGGAGGGGATGCTCTCTGCTGTAACTAAGGCAGGATGGTGAGCCCCACATTTCAGCTCTTTTGCAGCCCGCCACTGTGCCGCCTGTACCACTTGCCAAAGCTACAATGTTGGCAAACCTGTAAAGGTAGCTCAAGGGTTCTGGGGCCTGCCCCAAGCACCGTTCTTGCATTGGCAGCTTGATTTTGTACAAATGCCT